GTCAGGTTGAATCTGCTACACACCTGTTGCTTCTCATGGACAGCCTGGCACAAGCGAGATGTCTGCTTGCCCAGGAAAAAGTCAGCGAACATCCAGATTTAAGAACTGTATCCCAACCAAAGAGAAAAAGAAAGTCGATGATTGTGTTGACCTTGACCTTGGACAAAGGCAATAAAATGAGCTTAAAGGGTGACCCAGCACTGGCAGCAGGGCTTCTGTAAAATCTCCCCTGACTTAGGAAGTTTACCTGCCTCACCCGCTTCTAGGTAAAGGTGCTGAGTGTTGGTGGTAGTCTGTGAGTGGCTGGGTGTTAGTCTCCGGGTAATAGTATGTGTCAGAGTGCTTGCAAAGGGAGGAAATCCATAGACCACACAGTCCATGGTTTAGCTCATTTTTACCACAACTGCCTCTGCATGGGGGTGGAGAGGGGAGACCCCACCCAACATGAGATTGCAGAGCTTGGGACTCGTGGTCACGTGAAGCAAGGCCATTGGCTAGGCCCTGGCCCTACGCAGATGGTGCTTAAGAGAAGGCATTATTACACCTTCTGAAAGCTCCAGTGAATCGGATTTTATAACTGAGTGACCCATGTACCTTATTTTACAATGACACGAATTTAAAATCTGGACCCTTAGCACAATTTCAGCACCAACGCCTTTCCTTTTTGTAAAAGACACAATAGATTTCTGCAACTCTTACTCTAAAGAAAAAAGTAAGGATTTATCCTTGTGCTTCCATACACATGCACAAATGTCTCATTGATTTATTCATTTATTCAATTAAATATCATAAAATTTTTAAAACCATACATAATCCTGCTACCCAGAGACCTTAGCTTTTCACAAAAAGTCATCACGTGTGAAGTGCTTATAAATTCCTTATGCTTCTCAACTTCTTCCTTTATTTCAAGAAAGTATCTGAGCCTCTCTGCTACTACACAAAACCAGCCCAAGTAGGTTTCTGAGCAAATGACTTAAATTTCCAAAAACAGGCAAATATTTGCATTTTGGAATGTCAGGTAATTTTCTGCACTAGTCTTTTAGTGTTCCATTATTTTGTCAAGGGATTTGGAAATGTGTTTTTCTGATTTAAATTAAGTTTGAGGACTCTGGGGTAACTGTCATCTTTATTACAAACTGAAATATCTCTGGTGAAATTTCTATCTTGAAAGCTACTTTGGACTTCATCCAGTAGACCTAAGGGTCCGAAAGTTTAAAAAAGAACAAAACCATTTAAGCAGTTTGTTATTAGACCATACATTAAACTACCCAATTTTCCAGTCTAATAAAAATAAGATTGAAAAATGAGTTATATACTCTTAAGTTTTTGTTTAGATCCTATCTTGGTGTATACACACACACACACACACACACACGTGTATCTATAGATGTAGTACTTAAAGGTACATGAGATGGCTTATTTCAAGATGACAATAATAATAAAGTTCAGATTTACTCATCTTCATCCTATTTCTTCCTCATTCCATGTAAAGGTACCCTGCTCTTTTCAATGGGAGGAAGAAATGTCACTCGAACAAAGAGTGAGCTGAGAGGGATGGTTGGGATCCCAGAAATCTTTGTCAGGCTTTACCAAGTATATTACTAGAAAAATCAATTTTAATATGTTGACTTAACTCACAGCTGGAAGAGAAAACAATTGTATCTCTTTACATCTAGCTTACTTCTTAAACTGTTATTTAATTATAATTAGTGTAAAAATGCTTCATTTAAATGAATTTAACATGCCTTAGAAGAATTTTGTAGGGCTTAAGTTACTTTAAGCAATAGAGAAACTACAGTGAGTGTTTTCAGTATTATGATGTAAAAGTATAGCAATTAGATTTTAATGATATGGTCCTTAAATGGCCCATATATTCCTAATTTGTTCACTTGGCAATGCAGAAATGAAGCAAACACCCTTATCAAATCCCATATTCTTCCTCATTTCATTCACTCAGCCAACAGATTTTTAATGATCATCTTCCATGTGATACACTGTTCTAGATCCTGGAGAGATGCAAGAGAGGAGAGGAAAATATTTGTTTGAAAGGAGTATCTACTATATACATTCAATTACATAAAGTCTTGGATGGAATGCCTTTTTGGTATTTTCCTAGCTCCAGTGAATATAAGCAGTTGAAAGAGATAACAAGTCAAGTCACATCCACGACACCGCGTCCTCACCTCTATCACGACAGAGATCACACCCACGTTCTATTTTTGTGCTTGTGTGTCTGTCTTCCCCCACAAGGGTCCTTGAGGAACAGGGTTATATTTTATGTCTTCTGCCCATGAAGGACACAGTGTTTGCTCACATAAATGACTGGACTTGCAGGGGTCCCAACATGCAGCGTTGGCTTAAGACAGCTTTTATTTCACTGGGCAAGGAATGGGGGTAAGACAGCCCACTCCCCTAAGAGATGAGCTATATTTTGTGTAAATTTTCCTGTGAAAGGATCCCCAAAATAATAACATTTTAATTTTTAACTGATTTTTATTGAGGTAACATTGGTTTATAACCATACTGAAGTTTCAGATGTCAGGCTTAGACGTCTAAAAGAGAAAGAGAATGTATGGCATGTACTAACTAGGGAATGTTAATTATCAACTTTATAAGAGGAAAAAAAGATAATTTTCTGAACTATTTAAATAAAAGCTTATAGGAATCATGTTTATATACAGGACAGCCATACTGTCCTATATAAGCTAAAATAAACAACCCTAAATTGAAATAAGTACACCTATAGGTAGAAAGGCAGGTGCTATTTCTTAGGTCAAAACAACTTAGAATTCCCCCTCCATACACTGGGTTTCCACATACCTAAGTGTTTGGTGAAAAATAGTGAAAACATCTAGTTTTGAGGATCAGCTGGGAAACTAGGACCAGTTACCCTGGTGCACATCAGCGACAATCCTAGTTCCTTTCCCACTGCTCACGGATCAAATTTTCCTTGCCCCCAGGTTGCTGTTTGACCTAGTGGTGTCCTCTCTTGATAGATCCGTTCAGGCATAAACTGTCCTGCTGCGGGGCATGCAAGCCGAGTCTCTGCAGAGTCACGTCACCATGACACTATAATGGTCGGGGACTTGAAAGATCTGACTTCTACGAAAATTTCTCTTCTAATGGCCAAAAATGCCACCCACACCTCACATACAAAATAAGAATTTTATCGGGGAAAAAACAGCAGACAGAGTTTTTCTAGAAGGAGAAGGCAATACCTTCGCCTTCCTTGGCATAACGTTTACCATTTTCCCCGCCACCCCCCACTCTGCCCTACTTCCAGAAAGACTCCCTTGGGGAACACATGGAAAGTAATCAGTCATGTTTCCTGAATGAAAATATGCTCTGTGGGTGGAATGCTTTCAGGACCTTCTACATAAACTGACCATTTCTAGATTTAAATAAGAATTTGAATAGATGAAGGCAATTTTCTGAATGGTCCCATTAGTTGCAAAACACAGGGCTTTCAACATATAGTGGGATTTTTATTGGAGAGAGGATCTAAAGAGTCACTTATTTTTATTTTTAATAAGGTTTTGAGCCATTATAGAAACAGCCTGAGGTCAGGCCCCAAATTATCACCACTACTGCGTAGGAGCATAACAAGGTAATCTAGCTCAAGAAAACTGAGTCTACAGGGCCTAATTATTTGCTTATCTCAGAAAGCTATATAATTTAGCTCTTGGGGTGGTTCTGACCTATAATTATCACCTTCTTTGTGATGATACTTAAGGAGTCCAGCTGCTTGGGCCATTCTCACCCTGGTGATTTGGGTGGTGAAGGAACAGTTTGTTTACATTCCTTAGCTGGAAAGAACCTTCTCTCCACATGTAGCACAGGTGACCTTGCTGAGAGCTGAGCCACTGCACATTTTTCCCTGAAGGCTAGGTCGTGAGCCCTAGTGACAGCGATTCCAGCCTAACCCTGCTTGAAAGGCAGCCTCTAGTTTCAAAAACAGAACCATAAAAATCTTCCTCTGAAGGCATCCTTGTTCCTCCCTCATTGATGGCAGTTGTTGAGCAATTAAAACAAAGTATATGACGTCTTAAGACGCTCCTGCTCTCTGCTCCTAGCACGTGTTTTCTTCATAGCAGGATGGCATCAGATTTCTTTAAAAAGTGTGCATGTGTGTATGAGAGGGAGAAACTTTACTGAACATGCTAACTGAGGAATGTTAGTTATCAACTTCTTAGAAGAAAAAAAGATAATTTCCCCCAGAAATGTAGGTAAAGACTTAAGGGAATGATAATGTTTATGTATGACAACCACACGGTCTTATAAGCAAGTCCATGTATGAAATAAGTACACCCACAAATAGATCGGCAGGGACTAGATCTTAGGCAGAATGACTTAGAATTCCCTCCATTATATACACACACAGATAAATGTACGCATACAAAATCTCTATGGCACATAATTTAGGTAAAGAGTTTAAACTCTGAGTCAGTAACATAAACACAACAAATAAGTCTTGGAAAAAAGTACCCCAAAAGAAATGTAAAATTGAAACAAAAATTGATTCCCAGACTTTTCAGATTACAAGGTTCCTTTGGAGGAATGCCTTCAGACTGTGACGCTGGCAAGTATGCCAATAACAAGTGAAACCTCTCTTGATACTCTAACATTGTGGATAGATCTGGAGGAAAAAGTTTTAAAACATCTGCATGTCTTTATTTTTTAAATTGCAGTTGTGAGAAATTACTAGCTACCTGACGTTAAATAGCAATATAGCATCACTACATCTGTAATCAGTGAATTGTGATCCCGACCAAGTGCCTTACAATGTTTAATGTGTTCCCTTTGGTTCAAAACCAGGTCAGTTTATTCTCACTGGTGTGTACTCTATTCTTAGAAAGTTGTCCATCTTTTTGACCGAGTCAGTTAAAAGAAAGGTTTCTTTAGAAAACAAGAGACATCCTTTGTAAGCTACAAAATCACTACATTTCATTCCTATTTTGATTTTCAATCAAACGCACTTTGAACTGCTGTGTGTGTTGCAGACCTCTGGTGCCTGAGGAGTGCAGGGCCACGGTGCAGCCAGCCCAGATGCTGACCTCGGAGTGTGCCGGGCTCTGTCGGAATGGCTACTGTACCCCGTCGGGAAAGTGCTGCTGCAGCCCAGGCTGGGAAGGGGACTTCTGCAGAATCGGTCAGTGTTTCTGTTGTATCGCCCTGAAAGACTTGGCCTGGGGCCACAGTAGTAATGCAAGAACTCAGCAGTGGTTATTTTTCTAGAACTTTCTAGGGTTTGGACTTGGTGACCCCTCCACAATAATATTAATGCCCAATCTGTTTCTCAACTGCTAAATGAAATCTTTTCAATATTCTATGGTAAATGATTCATGTGTATAAATTCAACATAAACACCAAAGGCCTTTAAATAATTGAGTTCTTTCACAAAGTAAAAAGTGAAAACAGTATAGTTCCATCATCCCAGCTGGTTCTCAGTCCTGGGTTTGAGATTTCACACCAGCCAATGACTTACTGTTTACAGAGCCCCTCCCAGCATTTTCCAGACACCCCATAAATGTCCTCCCTAAACTTCCTGCTTGCCTTCCTGCTAAGGCACCCTAAAAACAGGGTCTTTCAGTGGGTGTTATTAAATAAAAGGGGAAATTGCAATTGTCTGGAAAATTATGAGACTTTTAAAATTATTTTTGCCTCTCCCTTGTGAAATATCATCGAGGTGTACAACAGCTCAGAGAGCGCAAAGGAGATTTACTCCAGGGTTATGCCACCCTTTGAGATTCCCTCAGTTCCATGTAACAATATGTAAAGTCTACTTGGTGAAATAAGAAAATTAGATAACACCTAGAGTTTATGGTGTTTAGGTTGAAAGTGCATATTGAACAACCAGTATTTAACGTGTTGCTTATAACAGGGTGGCTGTTTCAAATAGTCTCATGGCTCTTGCTAATGAAAATTAAAGTTCCGATTTAATATTTAACATTATTCTTCATTCATAAGTGCCCGTTTCTTTATTCTACACATGTATTTGTTTCAAAAAATTATAACCATGTTTGTCTACTTTATATCTTGTCCAACAAAAAGTAGCCAGCATTTAAAGTCCACTTATGCAATATATATTGTGAGTTTAATTGCTTCAGCACTTCTAACACTACCTGATTAATACAATGGTTCCATATCAAGCAAATGCATTATTTAGACAAAATGCTTATATTTTATCCATCCAGTCTAGCTTCCTTTTTCCAGTTGACAAAAACATGAGAATCAGCATTAGATGCAGTGATATGTTAATTCCTAGCGATGTCTTCCTCCTAGGCTTCCTTTGTTATCTGACAGTATCTGTTCTCTCCCTGCTGCCTGCATAGTGTCCATTCTGCTTTATTCCTTATTTGCATTTTATCTAACCTCGTAAGTCCCTCAAGTCACCAGATGACAAATCATTGTCTTTTAGGAACAGTATGTTTAAACTGAGAGTAAATAAATTATTTCAAATATAGGTGGCAATTATTTTAAATATGGTATGCATAGCATAACAGATGTTAATAATCATAATAACTATTATTATTATAGTGTGATGTGAATGAAACTACATTCTTTGTGTTAACATTAAGTTTTCTTTCCATAAAGTACTTTACTCTTTCCACTAAGCCAAGTTAATGAGCCTGACATATACGATAAACCACAACTCTTTATGAAAATAATCTACCATGATATTTTTGACCCCAGCATGGAATTTCCTCACACTCACATAGTTTATTCAACTTCCACAAATTTAAAAGGACAATTAGTCTAATTGTTTTCTCCTTGTTGTTCATTTTCCATGTATCAGTCAGAGACCCCTGGATTTTGACTAATGTGCTAGAAAAAATTAAAAGCGCCCCTGACCCCTGATAACCTAAGGACTTCTGCCTGTAGTGGCTGCATCCCCAAGATTTCTCCATCTCTGAAAGGCTTCTTCACCAGCCTTCCCGCTCCATCTCACCCCAGCATAAACCGAATTTTCCCCACCTACATCGTAGTGCTAAAAACCCTGTCCTGAGGAGATTCTGAGCTCTAGGGTAACCCTGGCAAGGACGTCCAGCACAGCCTCTGCTGCCCTTCCGCGCTGGCCCCAGGAAGGGTTTTCAAAGTGTATCCAGGGAGGAAACCCCAACTGTGCACCCCCTGGGAGCCAGGGGAGGGGGTGCCAGGGAGTCCATATGGACATTCCAGCTAAGCAAAATGCACAGCTGACCAGTCCTGTCCTCTGCACTGGAGAGGCGGTCCTGCCCAGGAGCTGGGGGGACACAGAGTGACCTGGAAGGCCTCCCTTGGAATTGCCCTATCAAGCAGAGGTTTGAAAGAACTGAAACTTTCACTTTAAATGGTCAGTTCTGCAAGGGACTGAAATTGCTTCCCATGACCTCTGCTTGTCAAGCAGGGTCTCGGGTCCTCTGCTGACTGTAGGTCTGCAGGCCTCTTGCCTTCTTGTGTTTATTCTTTTCTGGAGTATTTGTGACTGGCTTCTTCTTTCTGCTCCTTCCTTCCGTTTTATGTCAAATATGTGTTGGCTGCGTCCTCAGTACTGTTTCTGATCTAGAGAATGAGAGTGTGATTTTATTGCTCTTTTTCCTCCCAGCAAAATGTGAGCCAGCGTGCCGGCACGGAGGAGTCTGTGTTAGACCGAACAAGTGCCTCTGTAAAAAAGGATATCTTGGTCCTCAATGTGAACAAGTGGACAGAAACATCCGCAGAGTGACCAGGGCAGGTATTCTTGATCAGATCATTGACATGACATCTTATTTGCTGGATCTAACAAGTTACATTGTATAGTTTCTGGGACTGTTTGAATATTCCTTTCCAGTGGGCATTTATTTTTTATCCTGTCATTAAAAAGAAAGACTGTTATCCTGCTACACACTCCTGTGATTTCATTTTCGTTTATTAATTTAAAAATAACCAGAAATGTGCAGATCCTGTGTGTGTATGTCGGCAAGTTTGTTCACGTATGCACACACACACACACACTCACACACTCACGACCCCTATTACACATGGCTGCAAAACAGATGGGTGTTTAAAATCTCTATTTCCTTATGCGGGGTAATTTACACAGAAATTCCATTGTAAATTGATAACGGAATTTTTATGTCACCAGAAGAGATTATTTTACTTCCCAGGAATTTTGTCTGTAATAACTATCATCAACTTAAATGGAGTTTTGAAACATTACTGTGCAATCTGATGGAGCTAATAAAAAGGCAATATTTTCATATTAAGGACTATAAGATGAGAAAATGTTTCAGAACTCCCTCATGCATTTCTAAATGAGTAACTTGATATAAAATTGTAATCTTCATTTCTATCGATGTATCCAATTACAGAATGTTTACACACTTACCTTTTTATTGGCAGAGAAACCCGGTTACTAGCTTAATCCCAGATTGTTTTCAAGTGTTTCATAATTTAATCAAACAGCATATTCTAAAACCAATCTCTCTAAAAGGTCTGCTTTTATTGTATATTTTTATTTAACAGTAGGCACTGGGTTTGTGTTACATATTTATATTTTTTATTTTATTTTTATAATATAGACATCACCTAGATGAAACACCTTTACCCTGTCCTGTAAAATACTAAAGTTACATTTTTCACCAACTTAATTGGAATGAAGGGGAGAAAGCAAACAGTCTTTAATGTGCTGTGGATCTAAACTAGCAGTGTGTCCTTGTGCCAACATGTAATCATTAACGACGGACGAGAAAGCAAGAAAACAACCAGTCCTTATAAGATTCCAGCATTAAACATTTGTAAAGTGCTTTTCAGCATAGCAAGACTGTCAGAGGATATGGGATTAGAATGTGGCAGATTTCACAGTGAATCGAGCCCCACTGGAGAAGAGCTCACGCGTTGTTAACAAATCTTGGCTCTGTAAGCTGTCACTTGTACAAATTTTTAATATGATAATTATTGCCAACGATGACTTTCAATGTATATGTTCCTTCAGAACTCAATGAAAATGTTCCTTGGGTCAATGTACGAATAAATTTCTGTAAATGCTCTGTTAAGGTTTTTAAAGAAATGCCACATTCAAACAGAAAACTGCAAAAAGTCTGGTAGACATTTTTCTTACTGGTTTTTGAGGCCAGCATTCCACATTTGGATAACAAAATTATACTACTGAAAAAAAAAAAAAAACCAAACAAACATCTACCCACACACCCACTACAGGTTGCTCTTCTGCAAGCATCTGTCCCAACAGCATCTACACCGTAGTGTAGCATAGATTGTGCTGTCAGTGCAGGCTGACCTTGCAAACCCACCCCTTACCTCTCAGAAAACATGGGCCCCAACTAAACAAAATAAAATCAATCTCATAACTAGTATCTCTCTAGTGTCTTAAAGCGAGAGATTTGCAACTAAAGTGCCGCGAGCATTTACAGAGAGACCACAATGTAGAGAGTTTGGTTAAGTACACTGTTCTTGTCTTCCATATATGATTACTTAAGTTTCAAGTGACCTCATGCCAAATGGAAATGGGTTGAGAAATCTTGGTTCAGTGCTTAGTGAACAATAGCCTGCATTAAAAAGTGCATGCATAATTTTGCACAATTTAGATTCAATTGACAGTCTATTCAAAGAAGTCTCAGGATTAAATGAGCATGGAGACCAAATTGCCCTCTTACCCCAGGAAAGGGGTGGTCCCTTCTAGTCACCCTAACACTTCATTGGCCCAGCAGTGTGACAGATCCAGCAATGAACCCTGCAGTCGCCTGCCTCGGAAGGTTAATGGCTATCTTTTGTTTCCGTTGCTTTCTCTTCATAGCCCTTTTACTGAATTCCATCACAGAAAGTTTTACAATTAAAAAAAAAATGTCCTGACAACCATTTTTGTAAATGGACCTTACCATCTAATCGTCCCTTATTCAACGTGGGTGACATTAACCAAATGTGAACTTCTTGTGAGGGAGCCAGCTGTCTAAATCTGTCAAATTGTGCAGTTTTATTACACGTTCCCCCGTTCATAGTTTCACTGAAAACAATAAGGATTACTGCTAGATAGTCAGCAAAAATCTGAAAACTCCAGCATTTCTTCCGTCCTGAATCTTTCTGTCTCTTCCAGGAGAATCTTTTCAAAAGAAAAGGTGTGATGCTGCTCTTATTTATTTAAAAATATCTACGTTAAGTTGATCAGACTCAGAGATTTTATATAGTCCTTTCCCAAGTGAAAGAGCTTCAGGAGACTGAGAAAAACATATGTACCCCAGGTGTCACTGCCTTTTCTATTGTGAGTCATTAGAATAAAAGACCAAATTCTTCTAAAAAGAAGATAGAAAGATCCATGGCCATTAAACCCAAGCAAAGAAAGTCAGTGGAGTCATTTCTTTCTGTTCCTGGGAGACCAGTAAATAGCAATGGTGAATTGAAGGCTATGTCTTTTAAACTCGGTGATCATTTTAAAAGACCTCTAGACCTGTTCTTTCACGTAGATTTGTTAAATATGTGACTGGACCTTCATTATGAGAAAGAGAGGTCGGAATTGTTGAAAGAGTTTGAGTTAGGGGAGGGTTCACTGTCACCTCACACAGTGGCATCATCTACTCAGTTCAGAAAGTACACAAAATGGAGGAACAGCATCCTTGGGATGACTGCAGATGTGTGAGTAAAGATGACATAAAGAAATAGAATTTTTGTTAATGTACATTTTTATCCTCTAGTGCATTCCAGAGCTGAAGCTTTGGTGGCAATTTGACATGAGTGGCTGTTGTGATAATAAAGAGTAAGAAAAAATTTTTCTGCCATCAAACACTTGTCCAGGTTAATAGAACCTTGTTCTCTTACCAGTTACTTAAGGTAATGAGAAGAAAACTGCATTGGCACATAATTAAAGTGGAAGGAAGGAAAGATTTAAGAAAACTAAACGATGATAAAATGCTTCCTTCTATATTTTTTATTCTTGGAATTGCATTTCAATAAGGCGATTGTAAACTGCATCGCTCACTTTATCACATATGATACTCAGAAGTTTTCTCAAATTAATGAATTATTTCATAAAGAAAGAGCAGAGAAGTCTACAGAATCAACATAGTCACATGACCTAAATAAAAAACAATTCTCTTTTTCATTTACATGCTTTCCTTTTTCTCTATTTCTTGGATAATAATTATATGATAGTGTACTAATGATGTTGTTAGTATATTTCTATTTGATGTTGTTTTTATCTCTGAATCATAAACTATATGGCAAACCCACTGCATGTGAGAGGTGAGATGGGACACTAAAAGTAGATTCGGCCAGATGTTGTACCTGGGGTCTTTCAAAGCACACACTGATTTAAATTTTATTAGTCTAATTTTCTTAGCTTTGAAACAAATTTTAAACAGGAAAAGTAAGATACACCATAGTTAGAGTTGGCTGATCCATAAAATAGCTTCTGAGCATCTCTGTAAATTACCTACATCTCTCTCTACCTCTCTCTCCCCACCTCTATTTCTCCCTCTCTACCCACCTCTGATCTCTTACATCCTTTTTCCTTTTAACCTCTTCCTTCTCCTCTGTTTCTGTCAGCTTTGACTCCACAGACGTATCCTCTATACACTCATAATGAAAATGTCCTGGAGTAGGTTGCTATTGATTTTACTGGTTATGATCTTTTCTATATTTTCCAGAAAAATACTCTCTCCTGGTGTCACATTTGCTTAGACTCTATATTGTGAAAAACAGTAGACAAACATGAACTTATTCAATGAATCTCTTACAATCACTGAAAGAAGTAACCCAAAGCTTAAGTGACTATTCTGGATGCCCCATTCAGCTGGTATTCTAGCGAGATTCAGCCAAGGCAGCGTGTGCAGGAGAGTCCAGCCAAGAGCTTGAGCTGAGAGTTGGGAAAGCTAATAGCTGTTTCCTATTCAAGCAACAAACATCTCTGTGGAGACTTTCTGTATTTTGTTCTAATTTTGCAGGAAGTTGACGGACCTCTAACTATGAATGCTGGCAATCCCTTCAGACTGTCCCTTCTTAGAATATCCTAAAGAAATACATACCTTTGCCTTACACTGCATCCCACCATCATGAATCAGTCATGCCTTTAATAATTAATATGATGTTAAAGAAGGTAGGAAACCTAAGAAGTATTTTCTATTAAAATTATTAAAAGTATGACCTCTGAACCTGCCAAGCGCTAATTTTAGCCATCTTTATCATTTTCCTTTAAATACCCCTTTGTACATTTTGGAAATTACCATAAAATAACTTTGTAGGGGCACAAGATGAATTCATGAGAACATGAGTGAGGGTAGTGCATCATTTTCTTCTCCTGGTGACCCTTCCCCTAGCTGCTGTGGGGAGGTCTGCTCATTAGCAGATCAGCACGCCCCTTGAATTCTTCATTAAATATGACTCAAAATACACTAATCACTTACCTTGCTTTCTCCTAGACATTTGTATAAGTCATATAAATTTCAACTGAAAAAATAAAAATTTAAAAAAAGGATCCCTGTATCAACATAAAGCATTAGGCCTAATATCTACTATTGCTTTTTTTTTTAGCCAGACTACACAATGACTCACCCAAAACAATGATATCAATGCCATATGAATTCCAAGATTATAGTTCATGTACATCACCAAGTCATGTTTCCATTAGGATCTCATTGGCACATGTAGATTACATGTTACTTTAAATCCAAAATATATGTATACAAATACAAGCAAATTAAGAAATATATGATAAGCCCTCTTATTTGACTATAATCTTCTAGGTAAAAAAATATTTTAGCACATAGGATGGGAAAAATAGAGTGTTAACAGTGATGGGAAACTCATGATGGCTAAATATAAAGTAAGCTTTTTCTTCACAATTAGAAATCAATTCCTATACATTTCCTTTTTTCATCAACAAACTACTCAATGT